ACCCCTCCGATGTCATTTTCTTCTTCAATTATTTGAGGGTATTATTGACCTCACGTTACAATATGACAATACTCCGAATCCGGAACAACACGAAATTCCTAAATATTAAATTTAAAACGTTTTAAATTTTTTGTAAATAATTAAAAAAAAGTTAAATAGTCTGAAGTTTCATTTGAAGATCACATTCTAAATTTCTAACCAATTAAATTTCACTGTGTTTTTGGATTCGAGCTACTTCCACAATGCATTTTTCTCTTCGAATCGCTCCATCTCCGACAGCTTTCCGTTACTCTCCGGCTTCAGCTACCGGCGGCGGCGGATTTACCCCTTTGAAACAGAACCGTCGGATCCCGAATTCCGGCGTCGCGACGAAAAACGGATTCTGTTCAGGTGGTGGTGTTTTAAATTCCGGGAAGAGGGGCGATTCCTATGCGTTGAGGTGTAGCTTAGAAACCGTGAATGTCAGTGTCGGACAGGTGACAGAGGTTGATAAGGACACGTTCTGGCCAATCGTGAAAGCTGCCGGTGATAAGATTGTTGTCCTCGACATGTACACTCAGTGGTACGTTCAATCACGTGTTTTCACATTCCTTGATTGCAATTGGAAACTGGAAATCTATGTTCACTTTGCTGGAATTCTTCGCTCAAGCATGAATAAGTTGAGATGTCGAATACTTAGATTGTTGATAGGTTTTTGGGTCAATCACTGGAAATTATGGTTTCAATGCAGTTTGATAATGTGGAATTTCTCAATTTTAGCTCTTTTGGTAATTTGTTTACCTGAAAACTTTACTTGGCTAATCCTCATTTCCCATCTTATTGCTATGACATAATCAAAAGCTTACTTAGCTTCTTACATTGTGTATATATTCCATCGTTTAGGGCTAATATTTGATCTCCTTGCTGGTTTCATTTGTATTCAAAAGTTACAGCATTGGAAGTATCACCCAAAATCTTTTGAGTTTGCATCATTCATTTGTATCCCTTTTGAATTTCTTGGGTCTGTTGGATACAAAGGAGATGGGATTATGAATAGTAACAGTTTCCAAATAATTAGAGCATATGCATTGAAGAAAAAAACCTTAAAAGTTGTTCCCCAATTCACATCATCACGGACGTTTTAGATGAGGTTTCTAGTATATGTTTCGTTTTGGCGTTAAAGTTTGCCTTTTTTCTTATTGGGTTCTTTGCAGGTGTGGCCCTTGCAAAGTGATTGCTCCTAAATACAAAGAGCTATCGGAGAAGTACCAAGACATGGTGTTTCTTAAGCTTGACTGCAACCAAGACAACAAGGTTTCTTCTTCTTTTCGCACCGAGTATATCTTCATTTTATGTCACTTATTTCTTACGACAAAGACTCTTGGTTGCAGCCATTGGCGAAGGAGCTAGGAATTAGAGCGGTTCCAACCTTTAAGATCTTGAAAGACAACAAGGTAGTTAAGGAAGTGACCGGGGCAAAATATGAAGACTTAGTCGCAGCCATTGAAGCAGCAAGGTCAGGTTGAGTCTCTCTATCAGACTTGTTGTAAAGTATTAGGATCATTCTCCCATCTGCATGTAATTGGTTTGGTATGTATGTAATGTAACTCTCTGCTTTTCCCTTTAACCGGAATCGGTTTTAATATAACATTGTATGTATAAAATGCTGGAAAGGTATGAAATGATGAGCTAAATTTAAGTTCATTCACTATTTTTGGTTGAGGTCAACGATGTATTTCCATTGCACAAGGTTGATGAGACTTTAGATGGTTTTAAAATTTTGAGGGACCAATGGTTGAAAAGATGCATCTTGTTCATAGTTTGGTTTACATGTATGATGGTTTGTGCTTTGTTTTCAGTGAATGTTCCAACTAGATTGTTCATTTAGTCATAACTTCATTTTAGTTGTTCACCAAATCCAACCTGGCCTAATATTTCATTTTTAATTTGTTTGGCTTATGTATATTAGGGAAATGTATTTGGATCTATTCATGTATTTTAAAAAAAAAAAAAAATTGGGAATATTGACAACATTTTATCATTTGAATGCAATGTTTTGTTCTATGTATTTCTCTACAGATTGAAGAGGAACATTCACTAATTCTGTCTAAATATTTTATTTTAGCCATTTTCACATAAAGTAAAAACATTTCTCTGAAGAAAATTTCTCAATGAAGAAATCTGAAAATAATTAATTTCTCAAGTAAAATAGTCCGCAAGGAAGGTGGGGTAATCGCAATAGAGAACAGCAGATGAGAGTATGACACGTGGCGTAATCTGAAAGCAAGTTAGAGTCGAGAGAAAACGCGATCTAACTCTGAGCATCGCTTTCTCTCTCTCTCTGGAGTGAACTGTATTGCTCTTTGGTTTCATCGAGAGACCTAAACCCGATCTTCACCAAC